CTATGATGCTGCTTGGCCTGCTGTGTTCATCCAGCCCTGCACCTTGTAATCTAAGGGGGAGTTTGTATTTGCAGATACATTCTATTTTGTTCAAAAAGCACACAATTCATAGACAGTCAACGTGGTGTTTTACAAGTTCCTTCTTTAGAAATAAAACCAGTCTGACTCTAAAGGAAAAACAAACAGATTCTAAACAAAGCCTCACACCTTACATACATTGTCTGACCTAAAATGTCACCTGATATTACCTCTCTCACTAACACGTAAAGGAGGAATAAGATTCCAAAAACTTGTGTTTCCAAATAAACCTGTTGGACTATAACCTGGTGTGATGTGATTTCTGACCTCGTCCACCCAAGTCCAACACCGGCATCTCCAAATTATGATGAGCTACGTAGCCTTCCTCTGTGTTAATGACATTTATATATAGAAATTACAGAATGTACACAAACCTCACGTTATAAGTTTTTCATTTCAACATTATTCTACTTACCTCCAGTATCAAAGCCAAGTAGATGTTTCTCTAAAGATACAGATAAGCCCTGAAAAATAAAATAAAATTGTATATCGGCACAGGCTTGATGGGCTGAAGGGCCTGCTACTGTGCTGTACTGTATTAGCAAAATGTATTAACAAAACATAAAAGACATGGCTTTCAACTTTAGGAATAAGAATCACCTTCAAAATTAAATGTTAGGTTTTTTAAGAAAATATCTGAATTAGAAAACAAAGAGGTTACATTAAATACCCAAAGAAATTTTATAACTGAACCACAGCCATTCAGTAGAATTGAATTGCTTCCTTGCTTCACTTTCATTTCAATAGAAGCTGTATCTTATGGTTGGCTGGACAGAGCAATAGATCAACACTCTACAAGCCTTCATTAGAAATAAATATTCTATACAGCATTAGTTAACTATAAACAGTAAAAATAAATGTCTTATAAATATTGGTATGATGTAGTCATTTTGAACTTAACGTTCCAAGCAGAGTTGATTCTTAAACATAAAAGTTAACATTTGAGGATAATTAATCTGAGAGCACATACTAATCCACAGGGCAAAAAAATACATGGCAACATGCCAGCTGGCAGTGCTTCATGCTGACAATGAATGCTCGAGAATCTGGTACGTATTTGCTGTCAAAAGTCAGCACAGCTAAGACCACACTGTTCTTCACCAGTTTCTCTTTCATCAAGTGGTTACTGCATGACGACAGGTTTCTGTCTGTTCACTATTATATAGCCTCTAGTGCTAATGTCTAGAATGTGACTTTCTTTAGTGTAGGCAGGGACCTAAGAACATAGCTATGGCACAGAAAGCAGACGAGAACCTGTTCCCCTACATTAGCCATTAGATTCATACAGGATCAAAGAAATTAAGGGCCCAAACAGGATATTGATAATCATAAAAGGGGATAAAGAAGTAGATTTTGGTGGGAAGGAAAGGGAGAAAGTAGTTTGAAGTGCTGGTTTGGAAGGAGAGATAAATATTTGGAAATATCTTGTACAGTGAACATAAGGAGGAATACTATTATATAAATTAGGGAAGAGGAAGATGAGCACTACCTTAAACAGACGGAAGGGAGAACAATTATGAACTGAGAGGGTTTGAGAACACTATTGTCTAACATTGACCAGGAAGCATCCCTGGCATCTTTGTAAATGAGCAGTTTCTGCTGTCAGTTGGGCACATAAAATCAGTACAGAGGAGTGTTTAAATACAGTACTATCAGCATGCTGCTGTAACCCTTGAGAATCCTATGGCATCTATTTAGAGACAGTCAGTTTAGTAGGACTCAAACCATTCTATTACCAGCAGGTGGACTCTGCTTAATCTTAGTTCCCGGCATTTTCTCCCCTTGGCACAAATAGCAGTGACATGGAATCGTAGAATGCCTACAGTGTGGAAACAGGCCATTCAGCCCAACAAGTCCACACAGACTCTCTGAACAGTATCCCACCCAGACTCACACCCCTAACTTACCCCTGTAACCCTGAATTTCCCATGGCTAATCCACTTAACCTACACCTCCCTCGACACTATGGGCAAATTAGCATGGCCAATCCATCTAAGCGGCACATCTTTGGACTGTGGGAGGAAACTGGAGCACCCGGAGGAAACCCACTCAGACACGGGGACAACGTGCAAACTCCACACAGACAGTTGCCCGAGGCTGGAACTGAATGTGGGTCCCTGACACAGTGAGGCAGTATGCTAACCACTGAGCCACCGTGCCACCCCAGTGTTTTTGATCAACTCCAGTTGGAAAGCAAATCAGTGGTAATCAGAGACCAGATTTTATCAATTGTTAGTGACTAACAAATTGCAATGCACACAACAGCCAGAATATGCCATTAAAAACAGGATAAGGGTTTCCTAACAAGGGTATCTTCTGCAAATAGAGGACTCGTGGCAGAATGACAATATCCCTATCTCTGGGGTGGAAGGGCTGCGTTCAAGACTCATCTGCTCCAGAGGTGTGTCAATAACATATCGGAACAGGCTCTTAAAAATATCTACCTGCTACATTTGCAATGTTACTACATGCAGCCTGAATAGAAATGTCTCTGAGAAAGTTGATGGAGAATTGAATGTCACACATATTTCCAATGAAGATCTGAAAAGCGTACAGCCCTTTAATGGGTTAATAAAACGGATGTAAGAGAGTTATGACTAGTATAATTTATAGGCATTTGTCAATTTAGGAACATGGCTGCCACTCAGCTCTGAGCCTGTTTTGCCATTAAATTAGATCATTACTGATGTGTATTCTAGCACCATCTGCCCACCATGGTTCCTTATCTGTTAAAACACTTGCTGCAGAGGTAGTGTCCCTATCCCCTGGCAAATCCCATCTGCTCTGGAGGTGTGTAATAGCATTCCTGAACAGGTTGACTAAGAAATGGGTTGAATTATAAAAAAAACTTGCTGAACAAAATTTTATTCATTTCTGTTCCGAAATTTTCAATTTCAGTTAACAGCACTGAAGCCTTCCTGAGATGTAGTGCCGGGTATTCTAAATAAGACCTAACCAGGGCCTTTATGTGTATCTACTGTCAAATGAATTTTTAAATATTAAACACAGTCACACACACGAACATAAATGTTAAAATTGGTCATTTAGGAAGAATACCTTGGTTTTCAATAACTGAAAATAGACTAGATGACAACTCCAACACTACTTTTCTAACATTTTTCCCAGTGAAGTTAAGTAGTTAAAATGTAATTCATTTTATAGATTTGTCTGCTTTGTTTGATAGATATGAATCAAAGTCAAATAGGTGGCACAATATGGGACAAAGTGCTAAGAAAATGCAAAAAAGAAATTCCTATAATCATAAAAGGATAGATGTATCATTGCTGTGTTCTTCCTTCACCCTGACTGGACAACTTAATGAGGTTGTTCTCTGGCGACTGTAACAGGATCCAATGCCCATGGATGAGTCATTCATAGTAACCAGGCTTGACTAAATTTGCAAATTTAGCAATGAGATCTATCTAAGTTTACTAAAGGGCCCAGTATACAGCCTTTATCTGCACACATTTTTTCTCTTTTCATTTAGCATTTTGACCTTTTTTATTTTGATGAGGTGGTCTATAGTGAACCTAGTCATTTTGTTCCTTTTATACAGCATGTTTCAAAGGCAGACAAACTTTGTGAGAATTTTATTGCATACCAATTAATTTATTTTCTTCATATCTTGGGTACTCCAAGCAAATACATATGCTTTCTTTCCAGTACAAGCTTCTTGAAAGCTGCAAAACTAACTGCTCTTATGTTCCTCCATCATCAAAGACTAACCATGCTTCTGACGTATTACACCTAGTTTTCAACTGCTACAACTTGTTAGCATGTGGTATAATGCATATGTCTATAAACAGATACAAAAGAAAAGTGGTTAAGCCAGCTCAAACTTTGCTTTTCTGGTTTTCTTTCTGTACTGAGTAATGTCCTTTCTTTTTAGTCTATTTTAAACCAACTATCCTTCAATGTCAAGCCAGACTTGAGTAACAAAAAATTCATCTAATAGCATATTTGATTCAACTGTATCAACAAAACAAATCAAAGTCTGAAACAGCACAATATACTCATAATTTATATCTCAAACAGCTTTAGAAATTATTGTTTACCTCCTTTGACCGGTTTGCTTTTGCAATGGCCTCCGGGCTTAATCGTTCTTGTACCAAAATGCGAATGGCCTAAAATCAAAATTTCAAAGTTACGTGAAGGCACTAAAACAAAAACAAAATTAAACATCCCTGGCCCCAAGTTCAAAGGTAGGAATCACAACAAAATTTCTTATCCAACTGAGAAGCATTTCCTTATAGCCAACTGTATCTGCATCGCAAGGTAAATCATACTGTTCACAAAAGACCTTGCACATTTCATTGCTTAACATATGGAATCAATTTCACAAACTGGTTTCATTTATAACTCTGCTGGGAAGATTTTAGTCCCATTGTTTACAATTTTAGAAATTAGTTGTGCATTTCAGTGCTTACATCTGTTTTTTTTTAAATCCAATGTCTTGAGGGATTTTTAATTGGCCATAGTGAAAGTATAGATACAATAGTTGGCTAAAATCAAATGATGTTCTAACCAAAATTAAATATTAGGGAGAGCAGACATCTTGCACGTTCTGTAGCAGCTTGAGACAAAATACTTTTCTTTCTACAAGACAATTTCTGCTGATACATTTGCTTCAAAATATGGGCACAGTTACATTTGAAAAAGTGCTATATCAACTGGTAGTTCAAAAAGTGCATGATAATTTCCATTTATTATCCCAACTGGAGTGGCTCTTGAAGTACTAGTTGCTAAATCATGTTTTCATATTCAGTACTTCAACTCATCACTGTTCTTGTTCACAAATAAGGTAGCTGCAGCAGCATACATGAGGAGTGAACATTAACCCAAGGTCCTGGAGTTGAACGAGGCACACTGACAGCACTACCAGCTGCAAGAGGCAGAACAGCAGGAAAGAATGAAAAACACAACTGAAAGGGCCATCTTAAGTAATTGATTCTAACCAAGTGATGGTGTATAGTCACCAACCCTTAACTTTGAGATTTACGCAGAAGATCTAAAAGAGTATCACATTACAGAACACAATGAGCAGATCAAGCATCATAAAAGTTTTCTCATTAGAAATGTTCATTGCTTTCTCCCCCCAGCCTCAGCACCAAGTTACTTCTCATCCTAGCTGGTTTCAATCTCCATTTCAATTCACCAAGTTCTCTCTCAAGTTCTTAGCTTCTTTACTCCCTCCATTCAAGCTTCCTTATCATTATTTATAGCTCCATTCCTGACTCTGGCCTCGCTTCTTTCAGTTTTAATCATAAGTACAGCCATTGCTGATCACATTTTTGTGTTGTTCTCCATCCATAATCCCTTCCATCCTCTATACTTCCAGTATTCACCTAGATAATATACGCTTCAAATTAATTTCAAAACAACTGGTTTAGCCACTCCATCAGGCCTGGCTGGACCTCACAAAGCATTCCCAGGTCCTGTTCTCACCTGCCACAATTGCTCAGTATGCAAGAGTCAACCTGGAACCTAAAATAAACACCCATTTTTTTCTCTACTTACTAGAGCCTTCTTCCGTCCTCCAGCATTACCAATGTGAAGCAGCTTGTGGACTTTGGTTGTTACCAAATTGAGACCAACCTATCAGCTGCTGATCCTCTCATTGCCCTAGCTCACTGGGCCAAGCTCCCCCTAAGGATTGCCACTGAACTTGTTTCCATCTTACTCCTTTCTACCTGGTGCCCTCTCCCAGTATATCTTATACATGAAGCCCAACTTGCTATGCCCTTGACCCATTTACCGCTAAACTATTGACTACCAAGCTTCCGTTCCTGGTTCCTGTCAAGTGATGCAGTTAGCATTCTTTCTCCTCAGAGGCTACCTCCCCGCTTTCTGCCGCATTTAACCAGTCCTCAACCCACAAAACCTGCTACATGTTAAACTAATGCCCTACTCCTAACTTCCCTTACCTCTCCCAAGTCCATGAACCTGGTGCTGTCTTCCACACCTGTGTCCATCTCTCTCACAACTCTATATTTGGGGCTTGTCTAATCAAGCTGCTCAGACATGTTATTGTACATTTCTGTAAGTGGGACTTGAAACCAGGCCTCCTGATTCAGACATAGGGGTACTACCACAATATCACAGGAACCCTACAACAACTGTATACTTGAATAAATTTCATCAGGTTTCTACACTTGTCATAGCACTGAAATGGCTCAAAGTCACAAATGACATCCTCTCTCTCACATGAAACACGTAAAATATGCCTCCTCAACCTGTCAGCAGCCTTTCACATCATTGACCACACTAACCTCCCCCAATGCTTTTCGCACCAACCATCTTATAGCTGGATCTGTTTGCATTAGCCCAGTTCCGTTATTCTCTGCCAAGCAGTAGTCAAAAAAATGAACTGCAATGTTTTCCTTCCTACTTCCACACTGTTACCTCCAGTGTCCCCTAATGATCCAAACTTGGCTCCCTCTTATTTCTCTTCTATATGCTATCCCTTAGCAGCCAAACCTGAAAATGTTGCATCAGTTTTAGTATGTTTGTTGACCACATACAGCTTTACCTCAGCACCAACACCTCCTTGAAAACCCTCCTTTGTCTCTAAGTTATTAGACTGCCTTTCCCAGCATCAATTATTGAATGAGGGAGGGGTTGGTTAAAAGGGCTGGTTTGTAATGCAGAATGACAGCAACAATGTGGGATCAATTCCTGTATTGGCCAAGGTTACCATGAAGGTTCCACCTTCGCAACCTTGCACCTTGCCTGAGAAGTGGTGACTTCAGGTTAAACCACCATCTGTCATCTCTTTCTAATGAGACAGCAGCCTTATGGTCCTCTGGGACTTTGGCGACTTTATCTTTACCTACTGTACCTAGTATATTAGACTTTTTTTGGGACTAACAAGCCAACTAGGTTTTTAGCCTTTTCTACTATTACATAAGAACATAAGAACTAGGAGCAGGAGTAGGCCATCTGGCCCCTCCAGACTGCCCCGCCATTTAATAAGATCATGGCTGATCTTTTTGAGACTCAGCTCCACTTACCCACCCACTCACCATAACCCTTAATTCCTTTACTGTTCAAAAATTTATCTAGCCTTGCCTTAAAAACATTCAGCGAGGTAGCTTCAACCACTTCACTGGGCAGGGAATTCCACAGATTCACAACCCTTTGGGTGAAGAAGCTCCTCCTGACCTCAGTCCTACATCTGCTTCCCTTTATTTTGAGGCGATGCCCTCTAGTCCTAGTTTCATCTGCTAGCAGAAACAACCTCCCTGCCTCCACCTTATCTATTCCCTTCATAATCTTATATGTTTCTATAAGATCTCCTCTCATTCTTCTGAATTCCAATGAGTATAAGCCCAGTCTACTCAGTCTCTCCTCATAATCCAACCCTCTCAACTCTGGAATCACCCGAGTGAATCTCCTCTGCACCCTCTCCAGTGCTAGTATATCTCTTCTCAAGTAAGGAGACCAAAACTGCACACAGTACTCCAGGTGTGGCCTCACAAGGACCCTATACAGCTGCAGCATAGCCTCCCTGTTTTTAAACTCCATCCCTCGAGCAATGGCAGACAAAATTCCATTTGCCTTTTTAATTACCTGCTGCACCTGCAATCCCACCTTCAGCGATTCATGCACAAGGACACCGAAGTCCCTTTGTACAGCAGCATGCTGCAATGTTTTACCATTTAAATCATAGTCCATTTTGCTGTTATTCCTACCAAAATGGATGACCTCACACTTATCAACATTGTGCTCCATCTGCCCAGACCTTTGCCCACTGGCTTAGACTATCTATATCCCTCTGCAGACTTTTAGTGTCTTCTGCACACTTTGCTCTACCACTCACCTTAGTGTCATCTGCAAATTTTGATGCACCACACTTAGTCCCCAACTCCAAATCATCTATGTAAATTGTAAACAATTGAGGTCCCAACACGGATCCCTGAGGCACACCACTAGACACTGACCACCAACCAGAAAAACACCCATTTACCCCTACTCTGCTTTCTACTGGCCAACCAATCCTCTATCCATGCCAATGCTATTAATTAAGAATTACTGCATGTACATCACCCTTCCTTCATTTTCCAATTTTCAAGTGAGCCTCTCCATTATCTTTTATACATTGCTTCTTTTTATGCATTCCAGCTGTTTGCACATCTTTGTTTGACTGCATTTCCATTATCTCACTTGACATTTGATAAGTTCTCCATATAGCAGTTTGCTGATCAGTGAATCCATTCATTTTCTTGCTACTTGAAATATCTGTATCTTCCCTTACTCGTCTTTCAGGCCTCGGAAATGTTCTAAACTCCAAAATTACTGTTATTCACTTCGCAGATCTTTGAGCATTCTCTGTGCTGATCTCAGTTCTATTAATTGCAGTTTTTGCATTTTACATAATGAGATCCATTTACTTCATTAAGTATCTAGGGAAATTAATGCATTAATCACAAAATTCAATCACAAAAATTTACTTTATGCAAGTCGCCAAGAAACACCTTTAAAGGACACTGGCAAAGCCCATTATGCTTACCTTCAACATTAAGAGGTAGTCATCATGGCGCTGGATTTGTAAAAGATTAGCTAATGCCATCACACCAGCCTTAAAGTCAGGGTTGTTCACTGCAATAGAAAACAATGTTACGGAACCGAAATCAGTTAAAAGTTTTTAAAAATGTACATTTGGGCTAATCCAATTTCTAAAATTCAAAGTCACCAAAAAAGCTATTTTACTTTGATTGAACGCTTTAAACAATTTGTAACTATAAAACATGGTAGAATTCAATGTAATTCTAGTGGTTGTAACAGCACCCTCTGCAGGGTATATGTTTCTCTGAGAATCCAGAAACATAATGGTGAGGAAATTATTGCATTGGTGATATTGATGTGGTTGGTCGACTCGCCGAGCTGGTTCGTTGTTGTTCCGCAGACGCTTCATTACCCTGTTGGTGATATTGATGAATAAATAAAACTGTCATGCTCCCAATCCATCAGTGACAATTATACAAAGTATGGAAACCGTATAACTTTTTGCAATATAGAATATTGTTGATACATCGGATGTAGAATGGTCTATGCTAAATGGAACAACAGTTTTTCAACAGAGACAGATTTACGAGCAGTGATTCAAATGGGTTAAAGTAGGTTGGGTTGATACATATAGAGGGGAAAAGTCGAAGTTGGGTTTAAAATGATTTATGAATTTCCACTGAAACAGCAAGTGTCAAATGTTTATTGGCACTTGCATACTATTTATATACTATTTACATATACCAGATGGAGTCAAAAATCAATGCTTGTCTAAGGCTCAACAGTTTTAATTAATAGATTTGGTAGCACAGAATTCAAGTACCATGAAAGAAAGACATTTTGTTGAAGCTTTGGATCATACATTCATTAGGACAATTTGCAAGAATACCAAGAGAAAAGCTAACATTTATACTGTATGATAGGAGACTGTATGATTGGTCAGCAAGTGGACTTGATTGTAGAGGTGCTGCCACAGAGAATACAACAGATAATGGCAATTTACAGTTAACTGCCAGGTTTGGTTTAGATTTTAAACCAGGCAGGTTGGCTGATTGGTCAGGTCACTGCCCTGACAAATGAATCAGCAAACTGAGTTCTTGGTATGTTTGGATATCTGCATGGTAATGTGCACACGCAGCTAATTTTTAATGACAGTAAGCAGGAAAGGTCTGTTTAGTGTTATGAAGATTACAAAGATTTAAAAGGTTTCACAAAGACCACTGACACTTATGTATCACAGCTGCACACCAGACAATTCTATACAGTCGATGTAGTCTCAGTGGCATGCAGTGACAGGAGTCACAGTTAGCTTAAATAAACCTAGGAATATTCTTGGCCCTAACTCCTGAGCTATGCCACCACTTTTATATTAGTGAGCACCCAACATTATTTTGCATCAATGAAAAGACGGCAATATAACAAACTTACGATATGCTTTTAACCTCTGGTAACAAGCCAAAGTTCATTGGCCTAAGTGCAGGAAATCACTTTCTGGGAAACACAAGAAACTGAGAAGCGATTTCCTAATCATCATACTAACAAATAGAAAAAGTCATGCCCCAACAACCCAGTGAAGCGGATGGAAGGCAGAAAGGAGAGTTAGCTCAATGATAGATCGTCACTTAGTATATGAGGAGAGGTTGTGGGATCAGTGCCCAGGTTCTCCAGCCTTCTATAGTAGAGCAGTGCAGCAAAAGCTTGCTCAGAGGTTGATGGCTTATAACCATCCTCTGCTCCCTACATGCTTGCCAGTATGGGCTAAATGAGCAAAATCATTTCATTCTTTGCCAATACAACTTTATAATTATGAATAATACAAGTTTACAACCGTGATTGCCTAAATAGCACATTCTTAATTCTTTCTATAGTACAGAAGAGGTAAAACGAATCCAATAATGACTATTGCCTTCAGACATTGATAGGCTTCTACAGTATTTGGAAATTGCCTGTGAACAGTAACATTCAACTTCCCTGCAACTTTCTGGTCAATATGGAAAACCCATACAATTACTTTGATTATGTTTCTTCCTCTTAAAAGTAAACTATGATTAAGCATGGCTATTACTTACCATCCAGATTAATAAGTGGATCTGTGCCTTTAGCAGCATCATTTCTTACACTTTCTGCTGTACAATTCTTGTATTTATCCACTGTGGAGAGAAAAAAATTCACGTTTTAAAAGAAAGCTTACTGACTGAAGACTGCAATTCTAAAATTCCTCAAAATGTGTATAGCACCAACAAAACCACAATTATTGGTACCTCTTAGCTGTTTGTAGAAATTGTATTTACAACTGAGGGCTTGTGAGACAAATGGTAGAGAACATATGCAACTAACTAGCGTACAATTGCAATCACACGCAAGCCCATTTTGATACTCCTTTGTCTGCTGCCAAGCAAATATCCTAAGAATATTTGCATTAAGTCATTACTTTGTTTTCATTCTTCCATCTATCCAAATTTAAATGTTGACAGTTTCTGCCCTATCCATTAAGAAGTTGAAGTGAATTCCAGAGCCTCTCAATTCTGTACCATATCTACATTTTCAATAGCTCTGGTTCTAGATGCTCTTTGTTAGAAACAGATTAATGCTAAATTGTTTTAGATATTACAGTATTTCACTTTTAGATGACAACTGTCCATTTCCATACTGGATATGGCAAAGATTATTTGTCACATTTAACATGAAAGAGATGTTAACTTATTTTCTTTACTGTTGAATTATTTCCTTCTATATTCTTATTTTGAGAATGGGAATTTAATATTGCGCAAATTAACCCCTTTTTCACATTTAATACAATCATCATAGCTCCCTGAAAGTGGCCATGCAAACTGATAGGGCGGTAAAGAAAGCGTATGGCACGCTTGCCTTTATTGATCGGGGACTGGGTACAAGAGTCAGGCTATCATGCTGCAGTTTTATAGGATTATTGATTAGGCCACGAGTATTGCGTTCAATTCCGATTGCCACGTTATAGGAAGGATGTGGAGGCTTTGGAGAGGGTACAGAAGAGGTTTACCAAGATGCTGCCTGGATTACAGGGTATAAGCTATAAGGAGAAGCTAGAAAAACCTGGGTTTTCTTCTCTGGAGCAGTGGAGGCTAAGAGAAGACTTGATAGAAGTCTACAAAATTATGAGATACACAGACAGGGGATGGTCAGAATCTCTTTCCCAGAGTTAAAATGTCTAAAACTAGGGGGCATGCATTTAAGGTTAAAAGGGGGAAGTTCAAAGGAAATGTGAGGGGAAAGCATTTTTTCCACAGAGCAGTCGGAATCTAGAATGGGCTGGCAGGGTTGGTGGTGGAGGCATATAGGATAGGGGCATTTAAGGGACTTTTAGATAAGCACATGAATATATAAGGAATGGAGGGAGATGAACCAAGGGTAGGCATAAGGAATTAGTTCAATCTGGCATCATGTTCAGCATAACATCGTGTGCCGAAGGGCCTGTACGGTTCCATGTTCCGAGGTTGTTGACTTGCTTGCCAAGCTGGCTTGCTCTTGTTCAGACATTACGTCACCATGCTAGTTGACATCATCAGTGGAGCCTCTGATGAAGCGATGTTATTCTACTCCACTTGGAATTTATACTGTTTGGTTGGTTATCGTGATTAGTGTCATTTCCGGTTTGAAACTGTATGGGTATTAAAGAGCAAAACGGCACAACGAACTCTCCTTAATAACGGTACACTCAGACAGTGAAGGCCATCAGTTTAACTGGGACAAGGTAACCATAGTAGCCCAAGCCAAACATAGACATGCATGGGAATTCCTAGAGGCATGGTTCTCCACCCGTAGTGCAATCAACAAACATATAGAATTGGACCCCATATACAAACCCATACAGATCAAAACCGGAAATGACACTAATCACCATAACGGACCAAACAGTACAAATTCCAAGCGGAGCAGAATAACATCACTTCATCGGAGGCCCCACTGATGATGTCAACTAGCATGGTGACAATGTCTGAAAGAAAACAAGCCAGCTTGGCGAGTAAGTCAACAACCTCACCCACCTGCCCCCATCCCTCCTCCCTCGCCCCCATCCCAGGCCCCAAGAAGACTTTCCACATCAAGCAGATGTTCACCTGCACATCTGCCAATATGGTATACTGCATCCGCTGTACCCGGTGTGGCTTCCTCTACATCAGGGAAACCAAGCGGAGGCTCGGGGACCGCTTTGCAGAACACCTACGCTCGGTTCGCAATAAACAACTCCCCCTCCCATTCCTCAGACGACATGTCCATCCTGGGCCTCCTGCAGTGCCACAACGATGCCACCCGAAGGTTGCAGGAAGAGCAACTCATATTCCGCTTGGGAACCCTGCAGCCCAATGGTATCAATGTGGATTTCACAAGTTTCAAAATCTCCCCTCCCCCTACCGCATCCCAAAACCAGTTAGGGAGGCAGGGACGAGCTGGACCTGTTCTTCAAGCCGCACCTCCATCTCCTACCGACCAACCTCATCCCGCCCCCTTAACCTGTCCGTCCTCCCTGGACTGACCTATCCCCTTCCTAACTCCCCACCTACACTCACCTTTACTGGCTCCATCCCTGCCTCTTCGACCTGTTTGTTTCCTCTCCACCTATCCTCTCCTCTATCCATCTTCTATCCGCCTCCCACTCTCTCCCTATTTATTTCAGAACCCCCTTCCCCTCCCCCTTTTCTGATGAAGGGTCTAGGCCCGAAACGTCAGCCTCTCTGGCCCTATGATGCTGCTTGGCCTGCTGTGTTCATCCAGCCCTGCACCTTGTTGTCTCTAACCTCACCCACAACCCCAGCTACAGATCTTTGCCAAAACTTTAAAGGTTCCATGTTCTAAAACAAATTCCAACATAAATTCCCATCTTGTCACGTAATGTACTTTTGAAACAGTTTAAAACACTTTTGCCTCCAGCTATCCATTTGATAAACCATTCCAAAATAATCAATACCTCATGCATATGAAAAATTTGGTCCTATACCCTATTGGTAAAGAAGTAATAATTATGCACTTTTTATGTACACTATAGCATGTTAACTCAGATAACCAACACAGTTATGTTGGAATTTGGGAGGTCTCTGGAGGGCCAGAGAAATAAAGTCATAGTCTGAAGGAGGAGAAGGTGGGTGGAAAGGGTACGTTGCATATGCCCCACCCATTAACAGTACTGCTACCCTTTTAGCTGTTGAATTGCAGGAACTTGAAGAAATCTTAGATAATTTATTTTAAGAGCAGAATATAGAAAACTAACCATAACCAGAACTCTCATATATTGACAATAATGAATGCTTAGAAGAGGAGGTTCAGTTGAATATATTAGACACATAGTCAAGGGACTTCACAAGAAACATCAGGGAACAATGGATCTGTGTTTGCGCAGCACATACACCAGCCTCACCCAACCCCACCCCACCATCAGTATCCAAGCTCCCCCCACAAGGGAAGCAAATCACCTCACCAGCAGATTGAATTCCAAGAGATAATTAAAGACTTCAAAATAGACTGTCTGTGGAATCTTAGTTACCCCAGAACCACCTAAAAAGTGAGCAACCCTCTGGCTTTATGGCTAGGGCTTTCCAATCTTACAACAATGCTGAAGGGCCCATCAGCTGCCAAGCGACACCTTATTGGATGCTTGCCACCTAACACTAACATCATTTGCCTCCAAAAGACCTGCATGGAAACTAAAGGTTTGTATGAATCAAAGACTTTGAGCTCCTCCCCTCGTACTAATTACAGCCATGCTATTTACGTCCAATCAGACAATGCCAACGCAGTCACTCCATCATTAACCATATTCCGTGACAATTTAGGCTGGGAGTTTCCAAGTGCAAACGTGCGCAAACCTTGAAGTGGCAGCTGTAAACTGCAGACACTGCCTCACCCAACAACTTACACAGGAAATTTCAACAGGCACCACACCGACTGGGGTTACTCAGTACCAGACCATGATTATGTTCAGCCCCCAGAGTGGGCACCACAGACCATCTCCCCCAGTACATGACCCCAAACAATGGGAACATACAGCCAGATGAGGTCAGAAATACTCACCATATAAACACCATGACTGCAACAGACCAGAGGCTAGGAATTCTGCAGCAAGTAACTTGCCTCATATCTCCCAATGCCTGTCTACCATCAGTAAGGCACAAATCAGGTGTGATGGAATATTCTACACTTGTCTGGGTGAATGCAACTCCAAAATAAATATCAAAACAGTTGATACTAACCTGGATAGCCACAACCTTGAACATTAACTTCCTTCTCCACTGAGGAACAGTGGCAATGTGTCCCAATTACAAAATGCATGGCAGTATCTCACCAAAGCTCCTTAGACTGCACCTTCCAAACTCAACTTCCACCACCTACAAGGACAAGGATCGCAGATGCATGCAAATACTACTACGTCAAAAATATCTTCCAAAAGAATTGAAAACAAGCATAGGCATTTGAGAGGTCCAACAGCATCATGGTGCAACTGTAATACACTGGCTTGCTCTTAAAATTGTCCAGAGTGCTTCCAACAGGGTCAGGATAGTTGCTGGAACATGCCGTTGTACCACGGAGTCCACCTTGAGTAAGATTAGCCAATGCAGAAGACCAACTAATGGACTAATACTGGACTCACTGCTAGCCCCACCACTGTTCAACATATACATAAACAACATGCCTACAAGCACATCTCGCAAATTCATGTATACGGATGACATCTGTTATGCCATCCATGTTCTATCCTGGCCCAAATCCTTAACGACACTCTTAAGAAGTTGACAGTCTTCTGAAGCACATGGCTTCTAATAAGGAATCGTTTTAAAAGATATCTATTGAATTCCAAGAATTGTCTGCTCAACATCCCATCTCCCTATCTTCCACTCTTTCCAGATATCACACTCCCCTCACACTGCCAACTGCGAAAACCTGCAAGCTGGATTAAACAATCTACACTGCAACTCAACTACCCTGACATATACAAAGATATATTCAATCTAGCTACTGCCTGGCTTCCATCTTGGCGCCCATTCCTAACCACGATCTCCCAGCAGATATCCTCTTGATCATGGAACAGCAGATGATGGGAGCTTCCTCATTATAATTCTGATCTGTCTCAGGCTTTGAACCAGCTCGATGAAAACAGTTCAGAATAACCCTGTGCAGCGCATTTCCATTACTGGTGCCTTAGTACAAATCCCTAACATACTTGCAGAGAGACATAAACAATGCTGCACACTACATAGGAGTGCTCCCTCTACAAATTAATTGGCAACTAGGGAGGCAATAACTTGGCTATTCACTAAATAATCTGTAAAGATTATTTCACTTTGTTTTGATTATGGACTGAACTGGATGAAGAATAGCTTTACAGCAAAAGACTGAGGAAGGATTTAAAAATAAAGATGCATCCATTTAACACAGAGTTGAAGAAACATTTTTTCTCTCAGAGGGTTGAATGTCTTTAGAATTCCCTTCCTCAAAAAGCAGTAGATGCAGAATTTTTAAATATTTTTAAGGCAGAGGTAGATACACGTTTGATGGGGGGTGGGGGGTGCAGAGAGGTTGTTTTGCTGGGGATTATCGTTGATATGCAGGATTGTTTAGTTGAAATTAAAGTTAGATCATACATGACCTTACTGAATGGTATAGTAGGCTCAAAAGGCATACAGTAGCTCTTTTTTGTACGAATTACTGTATCTTTAGAAAACAAGTTACTGTAACACATTATAATTTGCATTTATACTGTTGCTTCGCAAGTAGTTGTGGGGAAGGTATAAGGGAAACAACATGATACTCATATGTTTGTAGAAAATTAGATTTAGCCAGTATCAAGTCGCTGACCGGTTTGTGGAATTGTGACCGGTTACAGATTTCAAAAGTCATCAGCCTGATGTCAACTCTGATTGGTTCCTGCATGGCTGAACATCTTGTGGATGTAAATGACACAGTGAGAAGCCCTCAGTTGTTTGGAAGGGCAGTTGGTATCTCCAGTAAAATACCTGAAGCTAAAGAAAGTCAGTTGTTTTCTCCCAACAATTGCTGTAAACTGTTGCTTTTAAACAATATGTCAGAGACTTTATAATTTGTGAACGAGTTTCTCTATGCCTCCTGTGAAGGAGAACCTGAAGGGAAGATCAGAGAACTGAGGAACCAGGAAACAAAAGGAACATCCCACTGAATCTTGAACAGTGGTGTTATTGAACGATTTCTGCAGAGTTTTACCCTCCACCCATAACAACAATGTTCTTTTTATACGTCTGTGCCTGTCTGTCTGTATGTACAGGAGGGGCTTAGAAGAGGCTTTGTATATGTTAGGTGTGGTTGAAATTATTTGTTTCTATTAAATAGTAGCGCTTGTTAAGTACAGAAACCTGGTCTGAGTTTTGTGTTAACCCGAGTCTATCCAACAGGTAAACTGAAGACTTTGCGTACTTTGGTAAAATTTTTAACTACTGCATTGTGAGGACTCTAGGAATAGTAAGGCTTGACTTCCAGCACGCTACCCCACGGAGGCACAACAATTGGTGGGAGAAAACAACTGGCTCCCTTTAGCTTCAGGTATTTTACTGGAGATACCACCTCTCCTTCCAGACATCCAAGGACTTCTCACTGTGTTATTCACGTCCACAAGCTGTTCAGCCATGCAGGAACCAATTAGAGTTGACATCAGGCTGATGAATTTTGAAATCCATAACCGGTCAGCAACTTGATGCTGGCTAAATATTCTGTTGCAACGGTATATAATGGTCTATATCAAATGAAAACTTATTCATCTATTTATAAGCCGACATTATTAAAGACAAGAGGAAAATCATAATGTAAAGAAAAAATAAAGCCAAGTTTAAAACACTGGAAGTCACAGAAGGATAGATATGCCAATTATAAAATAGTTAGCGATATCAAATGGTTTAAAGACTCATACCATTGTCTGAGTATTCAAGTCTCACAGCCAGGCCGAGAAGCCAGTCAACATTTTCCTGCCTTTCTTGAGCCTTGAATGGGCAGTTTACGTCTGCCAGATACTGAAAATAAATGATTCAGATAAAGAAGGATTTTAAGTTTACAAAAAGATTCATAAGTGAAAATAAATTTTCATACAGATGTTAAGTGTGCAGTGTTGACGGCTATAATGGATGATAGGAAATCTTGCATCATTAAAATACATTGGACTGTGAACGTATTAACAATAAGAGCATTTACTCAAACGAAGAAACATACATTTCAAGTCATTGTTCATAATTTATTATATTAGTATGTTATAGGAATAAAGAAAAGTGAATACACACAATTTTATCTCCATTTTCAGACCAATTCGTGCTGATTTCTCTGCAGATAGTTCCAATGATAACCTCTCAGGCTGCGATCTTCCTTCCTATTTCCATCAATGTCTAACAAAATTGGGGAGCTTATTGTAGTTTGAGCCAGATTTATTTTAGGCTTAAGCCTGTAAATTTGCTGAGAAATTTCTACAACAAATTCCATTTCTAGAACACCTTTAAAGTAGTTAAATGCCCAATGGAACTTCATCAAATAAATGGACGAATTACATGAGATGAAATATTTGGATAACTGATCTGAAGCTTTATCTAAGACCAACCTAAAGAGGTGGGTTTTAAGGCATGTCTTAAAAAGGGTAGAGACACTTAGAGAAGAAATTCCAGAGTTGGTGACAAGTCACTGAAACTACAACAATTCACTATTGAAACAGAGAATATGCAACTTGATAGAATTTAAAAAAAAACTTAACATGGTAATAGTCCCAGAGATGGCAAGGGGTGAGGTCATGGAGAGAGGAGTAACCAAAGATGAAAATGTTCAAATCAAAATATTGCCAGATTTGAAGGCAATGTCGGTCAGCATGTACAGTGATAATAGGTGAACTGGACATGGTGCAAATTAAGATATAAGCAGCAGAGTTTTGGATGAGTTCAAATTTCTAAAGGGTAGAAGATGGGAAGCTGGAGAACATTGGAATAGTCAAATATACAGGAAATAAAGGTATGGAAGAGCCGAGGCAGGGGTAGTGAGTGGTGACATAGTTGGAATAAGGCTGTATTTGTGATGCAGCAGGCCAACATCTCATTTCACACTCAAACGGAATTCTAAAGTTGCAGCACTTTTGCTCAGCCTCTTTGCAATAAGACATTGGCTATGATTTATTTTTAAAGTCATGAAAACATCTAATGAATCTGTGATAGAAATGGGTGCAATTCTACAGGACAGGACAGAAAATTTAATTATTGTCACATATTTCTCATAGACTCATGGGGACTCAAAGTTCTGAGGAAGGGTCACCAGACCCGAAACATTAACACTGATTTCCCTTCACAGATGCTGCCAGACCAGCTGGGCTTTTCCACCAACTTCTGTTTTTGTTTGGGACTCAAAAAAACTATAATTGTGTCAGGACAGAAAAACTTGCATGAGATCAGAATATCTAAACTGCATTATGCCAATTAAGTACTTCTGAAGTTAACGATTACTGTAATATAAGGATACGTAGCAGCCAACTGTTAGATCAAGGACTCACAGACAGGAATCAGCTAAATAAGATAATTAGTTTTTGTGGTTTTGGATGAGCAATGAAAATTTACCAGGGTACTAAAAGTCTCCATTTTCCATTAAATAGCTCCGCAGAATCTTTGATGTCAACCTAAGACGGCAGACAATGTCTTGGATTTACACCTCAACCAGAAAAGAGCACCTCCAAAAATGCATCGGCCTCTCAGTACTGCACTGAAGCATCTGTCTAGATTGTGCATTGCAGGTTTATGGAATGGGTTTTGAACAGAAGATTTTCTGGCTTGAGGGAAGGGGCTAATTTTGCACCAATGCATGAGAGAATAGAATGAAGTCTCAGAAAATTCTGAATAGCCAGAAAATTTGGGTCAAGGGAATCAGATATTGATTTTGAAGATTCTGCAAAAGTTAAAATGTATAAAAATTCCTTTCTTGACTTCAAGTAAAAGGGATATAGATTTCGGATTGTTTTAAAAAAAGGGAGATGTGGCATTTGTGGGTAGAAGGACGCTGTCATCATTCCTTTTTTTTTGTCTGGGTCCATGGGCCTACTTAATTTACACTGGTACAGGAAGAGTTAACGAGAGAGAGTTAACAAGAAGCTACGGCTTTTAATCAAGATAATTTATTGCATGATAGCAATTAGGTAGAGTTACACTTTGTTGCTAAGAATATTGGGAGATATAAATGACATCTGTCCCCTTCAAGATTCAGAGCTATTCTCCCAGCTACTCTACCCATTACATTATAGAAGAAAAGAAATAAGACTTTTTTCCCCCCCCAATAGTCATTACAATAGGGAATCTTGGCAAAGTGATATTTGAGGCAGCTTTAAATGTTTAATATGGAGAAAAGTATTTAAACCTTATAGGAAAAAAGGACATAGAGTCAACAGGTAAGAATGAAATGACAGAAAAGGAAAAAGCAATTTCAATATCAACCATATCGTTCTGACTGTCCATGCATACCGATCTATATCCTTCCTCTTCCCCATCCAAGCTATTTCCATCACTGTACACAGTTGTTTCCACGACAATGTTTGTAACAAGTTCATATTCAGGGACTGGAAGTATAATTCACTAGTGAAACCATATGCGAATATATTAGATGCAAACATGCATTAAATTAAACACATACAAAGCACGTTATTCAAAATGAAACTCACCTTTTCAAAGTGTTTCGGCCATTCATTGCTGTGTACATTTCTCAGGTTGCCTCTCTCTTCAATTTTATAATGTCGTATCTTCTGGTCTTCAAGCCACACAATTAAATTTCTAAATTCCGTCTCATCTAGAATATATAAAAAAAAAACAATTTCAGACACACATTTGTTTTTAAAAATGACAAACTGCATTCTACAAACCAAATGAATATACTGAATTAAACCTTATCACTAACATCTCAACCGCAAAAGGAGACTTATGTCCAGACTTAGATCTGCACATCAATGTACTAATTTTAATATCAAGGACTGGCACAGTTAAAGCCAGTGTTGAAGTATCAGCAAAGCAAGCAAAACTTCTGTAACTCTCTATAAAATGTATATTTAGACTTAAGGCTTATATTCAGATTTTACAATATGTCTGACTTTAAATATTGTAAAGACCTGTGTTCAAGCTTCCTTCAGAAAACAATATTTATCAGTCATCTTCTGCCCAGTTTTATGATTAATGCATTGTTCCATGCCTCAGTGAAAAAGTAAACTGCTAATTTGCTTAGTTTAAGTAACCAGTTTCAAAAAGATTGAAACAAAATAGAAATGCTGAGTGTAGTCAAGTTGTTTTTGGTGAATTAGAATTTGATTCTATCTCCAAAATAGAAAAATAAAACTGAAAGAAAGACTATTTTTTTTTAAAAAAGAAGCCTTGTAATTAAGTATTTTCCTCAACATTGTTAGTTATATGGTAGGAAGCAAATATATAATTCCAAAATGTGTCATCTTTCAAAAGAACCATTTAAACTGAGGCTTTCTGCACCTGTTCAAGCACAGACAGAAGTTCACATGGGCTCATACAAAAGACAGCAAGGTGATTCTCTGCTCCACATTCCTCCCTCAATTAACACAAGGGAAAATCTTGGTGTCTTAAGTGTTTGCAGAATTTTGTTGTGAAGTTGATTTCCACTTTTACTGCAGAAACAATTAATCAATCATGCATATTCATTCAAGTATTCTGAAAATGTTTACTATATGTGAGTAACTAACAATAAAGTGTGAAACCAACAAATGCTGGAAATCACAGCGGATCAAACAGCATCCATGGAGAGACATTTCGCGTCTGGATGACTCTTCATCAGAGCTGCCAGGGGTAGGGAAATCCTGCCTAATCCCTTATCTCGGGAATTAAAATTGGGAGGACTTGTATCTACGATGCAATTGAAAAGACGGAGAGAGCTCCTGTTCGATTTTCCTCTTCCCCTACCAAAATCAGATTTTTCATTTGTCCGCAGCCTGTGGGAGCTTGCTGTGCAGAAAATGGCTGCTCCATTTAACCACACCATTAAGAGTAAAAATAATTACACTTCAGTGATTTATGGACAGCATCTTGGCCACTGTTCTGGCACCGTGTTGAAACAGTGAGTTGTTTTTAATTCTGAAATGATGTTGAAAGACGGTGCGGAATTACTGGGATAACAATGTGTAGAGCTGGATGAACACAGCAGGCCAAGCAGCATCAGAGGAGCAGGAAGGCTGACGTTTCAGGCCTAGACCCTTCTTCAGAAATGGGGGAGGGGAAGGGGGTTCTGAAATAAATAGGGAGAGAGGGGGAGGCGGATAGAAGATGGATAGAGGAAAAGACCGGTCAAAGAGGCGGGAATGGAGCCAGTAAAGGAGAGCGTAGGTGGGGAGTTAGGGAGGAGATAGGTCAGTCCAGGGAGGATGGACAGGTCAAGGGAGCGGGATGAGGTTAGTAGGTAGGTAGTGGGGGTGTGGCTTGAGGTGGGAGGAGGGGATAGGTGGGAGGAAGAACAGGTTAGGGAGGCGGGGATGAGCTGGGCTGGTTTTGGGATGCGGTAGAGGGAGGGGAGATTTTGAAGCTTGTGAAATCCACATTGATACCATTGGGCTGCAGGGTTCCCAAGCAGAATATGAGTTGCTGTTCCTGCAACCTTCGGGTGGCATCGCTGTGGCACTGCAAGAGGCCCAGGACGGACATGTCGTCTGAGGAATGGGAGGGGGAGTTGAAATGGTTCGTGACTGGGAGGTGCAGTTGTTTATTGCGAACCGAGCATAGGTGTTACGTAAAGCGGTCCCCAAGCCTCCGCTTGGTATCCCCGATGTAGCGGAGGCCACAACGGGTACAGCGGATGCAGTATACCACATCAGCAGATGTGCAGGTGAACATCTGCTGGATGTGGAAAGTCTTCTTGGGGCCTGGG